GCGGAAGGATCACCGGAGCCCAGCAAGTCGAGGCTGCAGTGGCTGGGAGCAGCCACTGCATTCCAGTCTGAGTGACAGAGTGAGACTCCAACTCAAAAAAAATTTAAAAATTTAAAAATAAAATAAAATATGTGCTGTGTTGGCTGGTTGCCAGGGCTTTGGGAGGCTGAGGTGGGAGGATTGCTTGAGCCCAGGAGTTTACGATCAGCCTGCACAACATAGCAAGACCTCCTTTCTACCATAAAAAAATAAAAAATTAGCTAGGCATGGTGGATATTTCAGTAGAAGTATATCCTGAGCCCAGGAGGTCGAGGTTGCTGTGAGCTGTGATCATGCCACTGCATTCCAACTTGAGCAACAGAGTGAGATGCCAACTCAAAAAAAAAACAAAAATAAAAAAGTGCCGCGCTTCCTGAGAGAGGCTAGGGAGGTTTCAATAGTTGGTAGGCCAATTGTGGTGGTGCGCGCCTATACACCCAGCTACTCAGGAGAATAAGACAGGAGGATGGCTTGAACCCAGGAGTTCAAGGCTGTAGTATCACGCCTGTGTAGGAATATCATGCCTAGTCTACTTTCTGTGTCCATGGATTTGCCTATTTTGGATATTTGCAGTCAGTCAGTGTTAACACCCTTTCTTATTAAGACCTAATTGTGGCTGGGCACGGTGGCTCAAGCCTGTAATCCCAGCACTTTGGGATGCCAAGGCGAGAGGATTGCCTGAGCCTGCGGATTTGAGACCATCCTGGACAACATGGTGAGACCTTGTCTCTACAATAAAAATCACAAAATTAGCTGGGCTCGGTGGCTCAGCCTGTAATCCCATGCCTTTGGGAGGCTGAGATGAGTGAATTGCCTGAGCCCGCGGGTTCGAGACCCGCCTGGGCAGCGAGACCTCATCTCTACAATAAATTAAAAAATAGCCGGGCATGGTAGTGCACGCCTGTAGTTCCGGCTACTCGGAAGGCTGAGGCGGAAGGATCGCCGGAGCCCAGCAGGTCGAGGCCGTGGTGGCCGGGAGCGGCCACTGCGCTCCAGTCTGGATGAAAGAGTGAGTCTCCAACTCAAAAAAATAAAAAATAAAAATAAAAAGTCACAAAATTAGCTGGGCATGGTAGCACTTGCCTGTAGTTCCAGCTACTTGGAAGGCTGAGGCAGAAGAATTGCCGGAGCCCAGCAGGTTGAGGCTGGGGTGGCCGTGAGCGTGCCACTGTACTCCAGCCTGGACGACAGAGTGAAACTCCAACTCAAAAAAGGAAAAAAAAAAGATCTAATTGTGGCCAGGCACGGTAGCTCACACCTATAGTCCCAGCACTTTGGGAGGCTGAGATGAGAGAACTGCCTGAGCCCATGAGTTTGAGAACAGCCTGGCAACTTGGTGAGACCTCATCTCTACAATAAATTTAAAAATTAGCTGGATGTGGTGGTGTTTGCCTGTAATTCCTGCTACTTGGAAGGGTGAGGCTGAAGGACCATCTAAGGCCAGCAGGTCAAGGCTGTGGTGACCATGAGTTTGCCACCACTCCAGCCTGGGCAACAGTGAGACTCTGACTCAAAAAAAAAAATATCTGCCGGGTTCAGTGGCTCAGCCTGTAATCCCGCGCCTTTGGGAGGCTGAGGTGAGTGGACTGCCTGAGCCCGTGGGTTCGAGACCCTCCTGGGCAGCGAGACCTCATCTCTACAATAAATCAAAAAATCAGCTGGGCGTGGTAGCGCATGCCTGTAATTCTGGCTATTTGGAAGGCTGAGGCGGAAGGATCACCGGAGCCCAGCAGTTCGAGGCTGCGGTGGCCGAGAGCGGCCACTGCACTGCAGTCTGGGCGACAGAGTGAGACTCCAACTCAAAAAAAAAAAAAAAAAAAAAAAATTTAATCGTACTGATCGGGCCTCTTTTCAGGGGATTTCCTTGATCAGAGGCTGGAATGACTGTCTTGAATGTCACACTTACCTTGGATGTTACATTATATGACTCATAGGCCTGTACCTGAACTTCCTGGGAAGTCACCCTTCTTTGGCAGCTCAGATGAGTTCATTGAGAAGAGACGACAAGGCCTGCAGCACTTCCTGGAAAAGTGAGTGGACATGCCTGGCTGATACTGGTTGCTGGGGCGGGGCAGGGGCAGAGGAAGTTGCAAGTGGGATGGGGCTACAGCTGGTGATGGGAGCAGCTCCTCAGATGCGGCTCTGTGCTACCTGTGTTTGCTCCAGGGTCCTGCAGAGTGTGGTTCTCCTGTCAGACAGCCAGTTGCACCTCTTCCTGCAAAGCCAGCTCTCTGTGCCTGAGATAGAAGCCTGCGTCCAGGGCCGGAGCGCCATGACTGTTTCCGATGCCATCCTTCGCTATGCGATGTCAAACTGTGGCTGGGCCCAGGAAGAGAGGCCGGGCTCCTCCCACCTGGCGAAGGGAGACCAGCCGAAGAGGTAATTCAAGGAGGGCCACCAGGGGCCGAGGACTGCCGTGACCTGGGCCAAGCGATGTCCACTTGTTAGGGAAAGTAATATCCCAGTTCTGGCAGCCTTTCTGAAAGACCTTGTTCCCTATATCTCTATGTGCATGGCTTTCTCCAGGTGGGTCTGCGGCAGCCTGCCTCAGTGTAGCAGGGCTCCTGCTGGATCCTGGGGAAAGGGAAGAAGAATGGTTTCTTTTTTTTGAGTTGTAGTGTCACCCTGTTGCCCAGGCTGGAGTGCAGTGGCACGCTTATGGCCTCTGCAGCCTTGACCTGCTGGGCTCAGGCAATCCTTCTGCCTTAGCCTTCCAAGTAACTGGGACTACAGGTGCTCTCTACCACACCCAGCTAATTTTTTTTATTAATTGTAGAGATGAGGTCTTGCCATGTTGCCCAGACTGGTCTTGAACCCCTGGGCTTAGGCAGTCCTCTTGCCTCAGCCTCCCAAAGTGCTGGGATTACAGGCTTGAGCCACCATGCCTGGCATGGAATGTTTTCTTAATTGTCTTGTTCTTTATTCCTTCTCCTCCCTTTTAAATAATAGCTTTATTGACATTCAATTTCCCTGCCATAACATACCTTTTTAGTGTACCACTCAGTAGTTGTTAGTATGACCACAGAGTTGTGCAACTATCAGCTACCACAGTGAATTTGAGAACATTTTCATCACCCTAGAAGAAACCGTGTGCCCGTGAGTGATGACACCCATTTCCCTCCCACCCCATCTTCATCTCCTGGCCCCCACTAGTTGACTTTCTGTAGATTTGCCTGTTTTGTATATTTACACAAATGGAATCACGATATGTGGTCCTTTGTGACTGGTTCTTTCACTTAGCATGATGTTTTCATCCATGTTGTCCATTCATGTTGTAGCATGCATCAGTACTTTATTCCGTTTTATGGCTGAGTAATATCCCATTTGTATGACTACATAACCACATGTTGTTTCTCCATTCACTTGCATTTATCCATTCATTTGTGTTTACCTGTTCATGCCTTCTTTCTCTCTCCCCCTTTTTCAGTTGCTGCTTTCTTCCGAGATCAGGCAGAAGGAACTCTCCCTCACCACCTCCCAGTGAAGAAAAGGACTGTTTGGAAGTGTGGGCTCCAGTAGTTGACTCTGAGGTTCCTTCCTTGGAAGGTCCCACACTCCCAGCCCTCTCCTCACTGTCATGCTGTGATTCTGCAAGACCTGATGAGGGAACCTCCACTCCTCTGTCTGTGAGGAGGGACATGGGAGGGGACCATGCTGTACCTTTGGACCCTGGTCAGTGAGAAATAGTTTTGGAAAAGTGAGCGCCTGCTTTGAGCTCTGTGTTCTACTCTGGGGCAGACAGAGAGGATGCAGGGCAGGAGACTTACTCAGGTGGGAATGGGCATGGGGCAGGTACGGGGGAGGCTAGGCTGCTAATGTCTTATGATCACCTCTGCTCGGGTTGGCTGCACAGAGGTTGGTCATGCCACCCCCTCAAGCCTCCTCCATAGGAATAAACACTGCGCGGGTGTTTATAAATTAGACATAAGGCCCAGGGGCTGTTGATTTTGAACAGAATCCTATATTTACTCTCTAGGGAGCTGAGTTTCTTCGGGCAGTTTGTTTATAGGCCCAAGAGCACCTCCTCAGGTGACTGGTTTTGGGGGCCTGAAGGTGGCAGAGTCTAAACTGCCATACTGAATTTCATCACAGCAGGAATGCTAATGTAGTTATGTCCCTGTCTTGGCTGGCTTCTGTTTTTGCTGTGGCTCCTGGAGCACTCTGGCTCCGGGAGGCTGGCCTCTAGCCTACCTCCTGGCATGGACAGGGTGGGGAATATTTCCTCTCCTGCCTCTTGCTTTTTCCTCCATTAACACCACTGAATGGAGCCAGTGCTGTGAGTCCCTTCGCTGAGGTTTCTGGCACATCTCGAGACCTAGGCCTGGCTAGTGGAGCCTGAGACCCGCGTAACAGCTCATGGCCCTCCGAGAGAGAGAACAAGTTGGCCACAGCCAGAGGGAAGGGCAGCAGCTCCGGCCCTTTTGTTTTGGGAGATGCTGTCTGGGACTGTCACTGCCACTTCTGGTTATGAAGCAGAGACGTGGCTGTCTTTGCTGCAGGGTTGGAGAGGGCTTCTTTCTTTTTGGAATCCTTCTTTAGTAATGACTCCATTCCCCTAGGACTTTAGCCTCCACAGTGTCCCTCTGCTGTGTTGCGGGGAGGCCATGTGTTCAGTCCAGTGGGGCGTAAGAGCTTTGTTTCTGCTTGGAGGAGAAGGCTCTGGGGTGGAGAGAGGAGCAACATGCCCTCCTTCACACTGTGAGGCGTTCTGCCCTCCTGCTGCCGTTCTTCCTCTCCACTGAGAGCCAGGGCTGCTAGGAGCCAGCAGCGGGCATTCCGCGTTGCTCGGCTCTGAAGTTCATGTGTGGTTCTTCCTTCTCGCCCACTCCTCCCTCCTCTGGCCATCCCACCCCGTCTGTGGGCTCTTTTACTATCAGCCTATGCCGTGGGACTGTCATGGCATTTAGTTCAGAGTTGAGGGGCTTTGGCCTGAAATAAAGTGCAAGTATTTAAGACTGTTGTTGCAATTTGTGTCTAACAAGCTGTAGCAGAGAAGGAGGGAGTGAGGGCTGGCAGTCGTTCTTTCATAAATCATGAATTTATCAGCGTGGAAATAATGGTTGGGAACCATGCTCTCCAGCCTCCTGCATTGTGTGTGCGGCTCAAGTTCACCACTGAGGAAGGATTGTCTTCCAGAGAGCCGGCATCCAGCTCTTCTCACAGTTCTGGGCATGAACCTTGTTAGGTGTAATTTACCTGATGCTGCTTCCATCCTCGCAGCCTGTCTGAGGTGCCAGGTGCTGAAAGAGAAATAAAGTTTGTCAACAGGCAGATGCAGAGCCCTGGCTGGTGTTCATCCCTCTTTCCTGCCCGCCTCCCCTGGGTCTCTCCTTTATATGATGCAGCAGAGCAAGGCAAGGATGGAAAACCTACAGAGGCAAATCCAAAATGTCAAAAGAAGTTCATTTAAAAGGGGAAAAAACTCCACACGCAGCCCTCACAAAAACCCGACAGATGCTAAGCTAATGGCATCCGCTCTGCCGATTGGTGGGGATGACTCATGAATATTAATGAGTCCAATGCTCCAAATGGTGCAGCTGTGAACCCAGCTGTGCCTGAAGCTCTCTGATCTCGAAACTTCCAGACAGGAGCCGGAGGTGGTCTGTGTCAATTCCCTACTCAGCCAAAAAACAGCAAGCTGGGTCGGCCTTCTTCTGTTCGTTCCTTTTCTTTTTGGAGCTGGGGCCAGCAGCTCGTTCTGCCAGCAGGCTAGGCTGCTGGGACAGCAGGAGCCATTCGAAGACATGGCTGTGATTTTTCTGACTCTCAGCTTTTTTAATGACCCATTAGCAGCAGTGCATACAACAGCACCTCAGTTAATCTCAGACCAGGCCCCATCTCCTTTTGGGCTCTTGCTGTGTTGAGTATAAGGCCATGGAAGGAGACATCCTAAGAATGGAAGAGCTTTTTGAATAATGTAGGCCTGGGGGTACTAGAAAATAGCAAAGATGGGTTCTCTCCAGACAGGGACACATGTCATGCCCCTTGATGTTTTGCTCAGTCCTGGGGTGCTCGGGTTCAGCCATGAGGGCTGGATGGCCTGTGTGGAAGATAAACTGGCTGGGGGAAGTAGCCTATGGAGCTGTTCTAGAAGGAAAGTATAGAAGGAAAGTATTGTGTTTAGAATTTAGATTTGAGTCAGGTTGTATGCCTGATTTAGTCACCTTTTTTTTTTTAATGGCAATTGGGGTCTCACTCCGTCACCCAGGCTAGAGTGCAGTGGCACACTCACGGGCCACGGCAGCCTCGACCTGCTGGGCTCAAGTGATCCTCTCGCCTCTGCCTCCCAAAGTGCTGGTATTACAGGTGTGAGCTATTGTGCCTGACAAGTCACCTTCTGATGCCTCCTTCTGTGGCCTATGTCAGCCATCTCTTACCCAGGACCACCGATTCCAAGCTCATGGGGTAGTTTTACTTGGTGGAAGGAAGTGTGTGTGTTGGGGGATGTTGAGTTTTCTTATAGAAAAACAGTAAATTTCACAGGCATCCTTTTACTTGACTTTTTTTTGTTTGTTTGTTTTTTGTTGAATCGGAGTCTCACTCTGGCTACTCGACTTTCTGAGTGCCCAGTGAAGCGGGTAGGGCACTCATTTTCTACCTGAGGAAACAGCTGAACGTGGGTATTTATTTATTTTGAGTTGGAGTCTCACTCCGTTGCCCAGGCTGGAGTGCAATGGTATGCTCACAGCCACCGCAGCCTCCACCTGCTGGGCTCAGGTGATCCTTCTGCCTCAGCCTTCCAAGTAGCTGGAACTACAGGCATGTGTTACCATACCTGGCTAATTAAAAAAAATATTTATTGTAGAGATGGCAAGAGCCAAGTTGCTCAGGCTGGTCTTGAACCCGTGGGCTCTGGCAATCCACTTGCCTCGGTCTCCCAAAGTGCTAGGATTACAGGCTGAGCCACCGTGCCTGGTCTGGACATAGGTTTTTAAAAACCATGTTTTTGGATGACAGTGGAATATATTCATGTGTGAGATGCTTTCCAAGCTCTGCGAGACAAGATTTTTTTTTCAAAAACTTAAAAAAGAAAATTAAATCAACCACTATACTCCGAGAAAAAAAAATCCCCCTGCAGAGTTTTTCAGAGTTGTTCTCAGAAATTAGAGCTGATTCAGTCCTTAGTGTCCTGACTGCTGAGGTGTTTGATCCACACCTCGAGTCCAAGGCCCCTCCCACACTCTCTGATGGCTTTGCTTGGAAGTTACCATGACTTTTTTTTTTTTGAGTTGGAGTCTCACTCTATCACCCAGACTGGAGTGCAATGGCATGCTCCTGGCCACCGTAGCCTTGACCTGCCGGGCTCCGGCGATCCTTCCGCCTCAGCTTTCCAAGTAGCCAGAACTATAGGCATGTGCTACCATGCCCAGCTAATTTTTGATTTATTGTAGAGACAAGGTCTCACCAAGTTGCCTGGGCTGGTCTCGAACCCGCAGGCTCAGCAATCCACTCGCCTCGGCCCCC